AGATGCTTTTTTGTAAAAAGTTGGCAAATTAAAATGATTATCTTAATATTTTTTACTAATACAAATATTTCAATTACATAATAAACTTTAATAAACTACACTATTTAAGTATTTATTATAATGATAAACGCAATTGACCTGCTGAAAAGATTTTTCGCTAAGTAAAATTTATTTCCCAACGCTTTTTGATACATTGATTAAGGCCCTATATCCTCAAGTAATTAGTTATTTATACAGGTCATCTGAATTCGGGTACTCGAATTACCTGATTATATTCAGATGACCTGTTTTAGTTTCAAGTACTCAGTTGGTAAAGACAGTTGACCTGACAGGTCACGAGTAGAGATTTTCCAACCAGTTTGGAACCCTAGTACTAACCAAAAAGTAACCTATACTTTATTACTCTTCCATATTATATTACGATCTTATTTCAGTTTTGTCCCACTCTTTTGCGAATACTTGCATTGAATGAAAGTTTTATTTTAAAAATAACATTTTATCTACCAATTTTGTATCCAAACATGTTCTTTTTGCTATAATTAGATTATTGGTATGTGAAAATAACCTTTCACTAGAGACAAACGATACAGAAATTCCAAGATACTTGCGAGCAAGTTGTAATAATTTTGGAAAAACTGCTACACGTGCCTGCCACCAATCCAATGAATTTTCATTCTCTAATGCAATTGGCATTGCTAAATAATTGCTTATTTCATCATTAACAATAGTAGGTGCACTTTGGTTTACTTGTTTTTTATGTTTCATTTGATGATATTGGCGATATTCTTTTTGTGAGCGTAATGAAAATTCTGTATCTGAAAAAGTAGTTAGATTACTAGAAATATCTACTGGAGATGTATTATTAATTTCTAATTCATTACGAAGTTTTTGAATAATGTACTTTTTTTCATCTATCTCCAAAAAATCCAACTCCTTATAACGAGGGTCTAGTAAAGAGGCAATTATCCCAGAATCATTAGGAACATCCCAATAAAAAAGTAAAGCATCGTAAATATTATCTTTTACTTTTTTTAAAACTTCTATGGTATTCAATGGATTTTTAATAGATATATTTTTTTTAGTAATATCGCTTATGATATCATTATTATCTATTTCGATTAGTAATATATTCTCTTCAGATTCGTATATATTATCATTGTCATCATCATCAAGATATTCATTACTATTTAGAGATGAGCTATCAGCCAAATTAAAAATTAGTTCCTTAATTTTTGGTATCATTTTGCTAAGTGTTACATAGGTGCTTCCTGAAAAGTCTCATGTTGCTTCTTCAAATGGTAATAAAAGATCAACTAATAGATCAAGTAATTCCCATTCTTCTTCAGATAGCATGATTTGTTTTAATTTACTGCTATCTTTTTTTTCATCTCTATTTATATTTGTACATAAATCTGCTTGAAGTTTAATAATCGCATCTTTAAGATAAAATAACTGATCCCAAGCATAGTATAAGGAATTCCATCTAGTTGGTACGTCTTGAATATACTGTAATATATCTTTATAGTTTAGTTTGCGTTGTACTTCTATTAATCTTTTTACTTGTTTTTGTGTTGAAAAAATGAATTACTCTTCTTACACGTGCTATTAAGATTTCTACAAATACTAATTCTTTTTTAATTGCTAATTGAAGAGTATGTGTAGCACATGATAATCATTGAATATTATTACATTTATTAGCTAAAATAGAATATGCTGTTTTAATATTAGTACCATTATCAGTAACGATTGCCGTTATTTTTTCTTCAAGGTTCCAGTCTAAAATACTTTAATAAAGTAATTCAGAAATTGCGATACTCATATGAGGAGAAGTTGCATATTTAATATCTAGTATTATATCCTTGATTTTAAAATCTGGTGTAATCCATATTGCAGTGATACCTAAATATTCTTGTTTAGCCTTGCTAGACTAAAGATCCGTAGTAAAAGATACTGCAATAGCAGTTTCTTTTAAAAGATCTTTTAAATTTTGACAGTTATATTCATAACTTTTAGATATCATTGTTTTAATCTTATATTCCCTGAGCATAACAAATGAAGAATCAAATTGAGAAATCTTTTCTTTATAAGCTAGGTCCGTAATAGTAGAAATAGGTTGATTTGTGATCAACATCCACTTTAATATTGCTTCTTTTCGCTGTTTTTGAAGATATTTAGGGTGTAATTTAGATTTGATAAAACTGGTAATTTTTGTATTTCGTAACTAAATAAAAAATTAAATATTTAAATTAAGTACAATCGATTTTTATATAGACAAGAATAAATAAATTTTTAATTAGCTAGAGGCTTGAAGAGCCTCTAAATAATTAAAATTATTTACTTAAAGTAAAATATAAAATATTATCTTTTATTTAATATAAAGTCAATTGGTTTTAACTTAAAGAATTTTACATTGCACTGATTAAAAGAATTATAAAAATCTGGACTTTATATAATACTATCATATCTATCTTGTTTAGTGCATCAGAAGTAACCTGGATTTGTACGTATAAAGGAGTATTTGCTTGTACTATGAATACGAAATAAATAAAATTTCCTATTATATTATATAATTGTACATGAAAAAATAGTTTTCTTATATGAACCTAAATTACTTCTAATATATTAAACAAAATAGAGTAGCTATTAAAAATTAAAGACTCTGCTATAAACTATACTTTAAGTTGGCATTTTCTATTATATAGTACTGTCTATACTAATATTTTGAATTGTATATATCTCATAAGTCATATTACTATAGTATCCATTCCTTATAAAGATTTTTGAATAAGATCATGAATACTATAGTCAGTACTATATACGTAGCAAAATTGCAACTTTAAACATTAGATGTTGCACTAACTAAAATTAGCCCCCTAGTATGCATTAGTGCAACTTTAGATGTTCGAAGTTGTAACTTTAAATACTGAAATAGATAAAGTTTAACACAATATATAAAATTATACCTTTTTGGAAATATGCTCATTTGTATCTTCTTCATTAATAATATTGTGAATATCTCGCAAATACACAATAAGATTTCTAGTTGAAGCACCAAAATTTTTGTAAGTTTGATCGCATCTTTTATCATTTTTGTTTTTAATATTACAAATACGTACTTCTTCACCTTTTGAATTAATTTCTTTGTCAAAATATAGTTTTGTAAAAGATGGATTTTTTCTTTTTTTTGTAATGCTTTTAGTTAATTCTATTTGTATTTAATTTTTAATATTAAATTTTATTTTTTTTATTTTTTTTTTTTGTTATTAAGGCCACTTCCTTGGCTGATTAGATTTTTATTAGTTTGTTATTACGGAACTATCACA